GTGCTGTGTGGAAAATTTGATTCAGCCAATCAGAAGCACCACCTAGATCTGGGTAGTGACACGTCCTCAGTATGGAATTTCTCCGCTCGTTTCTCAGACGTCACTTCGCCGGGAAACCAGTGATGGCGTCGAGAAATGTAGACTGTTTTCTCAGGCTAGCCAATTACAACTGTCAGGTACTCCCTGCTTAGAAATATTTCCAGTACTGAAAGCAATGGTTTTGCTAAATTTGTGACCAAAATTGTTATCGAGAATAGCTCAGAATTGACATTTGGAAGCACATTTTTGTCAGAGTGAGTTCAACTGACATTAACCCTATTTTGGTCTGAAATGGGGTACGATTTTGAAAGAAAAATGATGCACACCCTTAGCCCAAATTTTCTGTTAGTGTTCCCCAAGGAGACGAGTCAAAGACTTGTCTCCAGTCTTACCCTGATGCACACCCTTAGCCCAAATTTTCTGTTAGTGTTCCCCAAGGAGACGAGTCAGAGACTTGTCTCCAGTCTTACCCTGACTTCTGTAGACAATTTTCGCCATACGAATCTCGCTATACTCTTGGTGGAATAGTGGTGAACAGAAACGCCGCAGCAGTGGATCAATATCCATGGCTAACCAAGTTCCGACCAAAAAACGCAACCTAAAAAAATGTCAGATATTTAGTTGAGGTCATGTTCTGAGTCACTGGTCCATGAACCCAGATACTTAAAGTTCAATTACTTCCTTGTCTAGTGTTTTGAGGCCAGCATCAACTTGATGGTAAAAGGACGTGTATTTTGTCTTCTTTGCATTTGGTATAACACCAACCTTGGCCAACGCTTCCTGAACATTTCTGCGTAGCTCTTGCACTGGTTGAAACTGATCGCTAAAAAAAATGTTTATTAACAGGTAGGATATTAGGTCGAGTAGTTTCGTTTCCTTCACTTTGATACTAAGTCGATCACCTCAGAGTGTTAACTCTTTTCTTTTTATAAAAAATCAGAATATTCACAAGTGGAACTGGATAAACGTTGTCCTTTGTAACTTAAATGGTATCCGATTGACGTTGGAAGGCCTTTGTTTACCGATGAAACTCGTATCAACATACTGAGACAATATGAGCAAATACAAAACAAAGACTACTTTGATTTTCAACCAATCAAGACTGGCACTCTTTTATACCGACGCTGTGCTTCGTGTTGATTACGTTTATGGAAAGGTTTCTTGGGTTAGTTTATTTTCATGACCTTGTCGTCACGTTCTAGTCCTTATATATATATATATAAAACAGAATAGTCGTATTTTATTGCCCAGCATAAAGCCTCTTGCGGCACTTGGACAATGACGAGACTGGTTGATTGCTTAAGCATCACAGAGGGACGTTCAGCTATTTTTAACTATTTTTATCTATTTCATGAAAAACATACTTAGGATAATGAAAGTTAAAACTAACAGGTAATAAGTGATTTCAAAGGAGTAGCACTTAACTTGAGTGAAAACTAACAATTAAGGACTTAGACGATATATGGCTATAAACAAACTTTACGCGAGGCCGAACATGCAAATTGCTTTCATTGACAGATGCATTCGGTTGCTATACACAACCGTTTCAAACAAATTCAGGTACATGTAAAAATGCACGTTCGATACCTTAACCTTGGAATATCTCGGAAGTCGGTTTGAACTTCATTAACGGGTCCGTAATTATGAAAATTACTATAATTACATTAAGAATATTTGCCCAGCCTTCGCAGGGCTGCGTCTAGTTCACTTGATATTCTGACATAGTAACCAGACAGATCAATTCATTTTTTCAAGTAAAAGTCTACTCTGAAGGAGCAAACATCCCGCCTTGTCCTGTTCTATCTGCTCTACGCTCAGTCGGGGAAATAGAACTGATGGTTAAGATGAAAAGCGCTCTTTTTTACCGATGCAACTTGGCGAGGAGTATTTGCCTAGGAATTCAGTGATTGCATGGGCAAGGAAGGCTTTAAGA